ATAAAATATTGAGAAAATTAACTAGAATTATTTAAATTATGCGCATAGTTTTTGCAAATTTAGTGATTTAGTGACGAAATAAAACGTTAATAAAAAGTTTCAAAACCTTGTAAAGCGTTACAAAAACATGTTAGTTGTGTTCTTCAAACTTGATATGTTCAAAGTCAAAACTTTAATCAACCACGCGACAAAGGCGGCCGCTCGTCTAGTCAGTGTCAGGTTTAACGCTTGAGCAAACGCGGTAAGATGTTTGTCGTTCACGATAGCTTTAAAATGGTATTAGTTGATTGTTTCAGGGAATTAACAAAACAKACCTTCACCATGAGGAGCCCCGACCCTTCTTTTTCTGTCCCAGCGGTACATCTTGGAAGCATGGAGTAGGTGATAAATCAACTAGCATTATCCAATCGTCAGAGGCTTCGAATGATAATATCAACAGCATGAAGAAGGTTGCTTTCAACTCCTTTCGATGAAAATAAGCAGCTCAGTTTTTCAAGCTTCAATAGGATAATGCTTTTAATGGTTATGGCCAATGGTCATGGCGTAAGAATCAAAACTTTATTCTCCTCTCGCATTCACTTCTTGGTTTGTCGTTGGCACCTATACATGATCAAAGTTTTTCAAGGTTTTTCCAAGCGATATTCAAGAGGTTGCGATAAAAGAATTGACTACGATCCATGGAGGCGAATTTCCCACCAAATGGTTCGCAGGGTCAAAGTCGGATGCAAACAAGAAYCGAACTCAAAATGTTTTCGTATCATCGACGCTTGGTGCATTTGCAGGCATTCTGAGCTCATGCAAGGAGAAAGGAACGAAAACTTTGGGTCTAGTCAAGCACATATTGGACCTTATTCAAGAACAGAGGCTTGACAACGAAGACGTTTCGACCCCTAATAAAAAGAATAAGAGACCATTACTTGATGAAAGAAAGCAAAATCATGCCCATTTCCAGCTGAGCCAGCCAAATCAAATCCATTCCCAGCCGACTAGCCCTCCTTCAAATCTCATTCAGCCCAGCCCGCCTAATCTTATAAATCAGTCCAGCCCACCAAAACTTAATTATTTCAAGCAGAGCACACCAAATCTTGATTGCAGTTTTTCTTCATGTACTAGTGGCAGCTTGTATATACGAAGAGACAAAGTAAGAGAAAGATGAAAGCGAGTGTTCCAAAAACCAAAAGAGGAGGACAATATTGTGTTGCTGGTGCACCAAACGATCAAAGCTGCACCAACTTGAGCTATTCTGAAGGCATAACTATGTATCAGTTTCCTGTTGACCCCGTTATACGAGAAAAATGAGTGAAGTTTGTGCAAAGGCATAGGAGAGATTCTGGGGAATCCGTAAACAAATATGCCGCCCCTTGCTCGGCTCATTTCGAAGATTCGTGTTATTTGCGAAGACCTCTACTTATTGAGGGAATGGCTATGAAAATGAACAAGGCTTTAATAAAGGGTTCGGTCCCAACTCGAGCTACGGTGATACCAGCTAATCAACTTTATTATTGCATTCAATATTACGTCCAATAATGTAGTTAATAATGTTGTCCTAAATCTACCTTTAATATAAAGGATCACTTCGACTGTACTTCATCTAACACCATCTACTRCATTCAATGCTCTTATTGTAACATGCTGTATGTTGGAAAAACTGGACGAAGATTAGGTGATCGTTTCAGAGACCACCTTTACGATATTCCAATAAAGACCTCTCTAAACCAGTTTCTTGAYATTTTATTTCTGCGAACCACTCGGAAACTAATGTTATTGTTTTTAGTCATTGCTTAAAACATGGTAGCAATAGTTCATGCAAAACAAAAGAAATGCGCTTGATTTATTTGCTTAGCACAGTTAATCCGCATGGGATGAACGAACGCTTCACCTTTAGTTAGCCATTTCTCACTTACCATTGTTATTTTCGATCTTTTTGTTCTCTTTTGCTTAACGACTTACTATTTTCTTATTGGTCTGTTTTCCCCCTACACCACCATATTAAGTTCCATGTTTATCCAGACTGCGTGAAGCAGGTCATCAGAGCGATAGTCGCTGATGACCTAGCTGATTATCCAGATCCTACAAGGGTCAAGCGTATGTAATAAATTCATTATATTTCCTCAATGGCATCCACTCAAATAAAAATGTATTCAATTTCTCTCTGTATTATGTTCTCAAAACAATAGCATGTAACTGTGAGCAATGTCAAAATGAAAGACCTATTCAAAGCCAAATGGCCTGCCACCAAGAAATAGTAGATGTTGTAAATAATTTAATGCTCACTTGCTCAGTCAATTTTATGCTCATTCCACCTTTAATTYTAAAATTTAATGAAAAACATTTGTATTTAAGTGATTTTTAAAAATCGTATAAATAGTTATGAAAGATTATGACAAAATAATTTTTTTACATTTTGGTGTCCGCATAAGCCTGTTATAAGAGATATTCTTTACAAAAACCAACCATGTGGTTTTCATTGACGATCCAATTGTGACATCCAATTTCGGAGAGCTTCTACTCCAAATTCAGAGTGGGCCTGCCATGGGATCCCAAAAGGCAGGACTCACGCATCCTCAAGGACCACTCCTGATAAACTCTAATGACCCGGTTAGGCAAAGGTAATAAAATAAAAAAGAGAGAACGGCTGCCTTCTGTTTTCACTTTAAAAGATGTGAATTGTGCTATGTCTTCATAAGTTTAAAAAGAAAAGCTTAATATATTTTCACAGTTGAAAGACGGCTTATATTTTCCTATTACTATTGTTATTACTATTACTATTACTATTGTTAGCCGCAAACGAACCTTTATAAAATTGATCGTAATTGGTACGTGATATTATACGCTTTTAATTTGATATTTGACAGGAAATTGCAAGTGCTTTAAAGCCAACTTAGACTGCACAGCATTATGTTTATGTGGTGGCCACTCACTCAAAGACTCCTGATGTAAGTTGTATTTATTGTGACACAAATAAATTAAAGTTAAGTGATAAACACAGAAAGGCTCTCACAACGTTTCAATATCCTCGATCCTAACACAATGTTTTTAATCTGTTTTCAGCAATATTCTATTACCTCATGAAGTCCAATTACAAAAGCAAAAAAAAGAAAAAAAAGATTGCACAGGAAATTTTAAGCGCCTTAACTTAAGACAGGTTAGACTACACAAATGGAGACTCTTGATGTAAGTTATGTTTATTGCGACACGATGATGAAACCAAAGTACATCGGCTAGCTCTTGAGTCACGTGTGTGATCACGTGATAATCTCAAAAACGCTCTCCCAACCTCCTTCAATTACTATTTATATTTACATAACCTCTTACAACTGTTTTCAGCTTTATTCGACCTTAAAAAGTGGTAAAAACGCGATTCTTTTGATCAGCCTCGTTTCCATGCAATAGCGTTTTTTGACATCCGCATTACTGGAAAGATAGGCCATATCTCAGATGGCTCCATATCACAAATCAACAAGCACATCGAGAGGAGTATATGTGCCAAGTTTCATGCTTTTATCACAAAACGAACAATTTATCACCTAACAGCTGGACTA